TTTAGAATGCTAAAATATATTTTATAGGACCAACGTATCCCATTAAAAATTTGCTATAGAGTAGTTTGAGGGAAAAAAAATGTACTTTCAATATATTTTAGTTTTCTAATTGACGCAGTCATCTGAGAGCCCAAGCTCTGTCATTGGAAAGTAAATATTGCTGATAGATAAATATCACTAGCAAGAAATACTGCAATATAATCAATCACAAATTATAGAAAAGATGTGGTCCTTGATTTCAAGGAAGGAATGATTTTAGAAACAACATAGGGTTGGAGATAGACAATAAAGAAGTTAGGGATAAGGAGGCATGAGATTTGAGTTGACTAAAAGTGACTAAAAGTGTGTAAGAAGGTTAGCTTCTATGTTTCAAGATTTGCAATAATTAAGAGAGAATGGCTATGAGGAAAGAAAAGGAAGTCGTGCACTAAAAATAAGGTTACCTTGGCTTACGGAGTTTGAAATTTGAACTGGCAGCAACAGAAACACAGCAAGCAAACTTCTGTACACAATTTTCCGTCTTTCATGTTTTTGCCTGTAACTTAGTATAGTGCTGTTGAGGCTCAGAAAACAAAACCCCAAAGTGAAAGCCTAAGAAGCAGCCTTTGAAACAAAGTCTCTCTCTAACCCTCTCCTGGCACCTTTGTTCTTGCTCCTCATTCTCCCCTAGGCACGACATGGAAACTGGAGTCCCTCTTCCCCAAGATGGGTCACAGAAAACAGAAACCCTTTTCCCCAAGGCAGCCATGAAGCCTAAGATTAGTACTTTAAACCTGACCCCTGCTTTTCTAACTGGCCGTAAAAAAATTAAGACCCTCATCCAGTGAGGCCCTATCCCAAATGCAGGCGGAAGGAACGCTACACAGACAGGTCAAGAAGAATCGAACATATAGGCCTTGCTGAGTTTCTCCATGCAGTCTATTAGCGTTAGATCATACTCTTTTTGTCCAATCGTATTTCTACATGGCTATCTATACTTATTGAATCTAAACATAAAAATGGACAGTTTTCCCATATTTTGGGGTCATTATTCTGAAGACCCCCGTGTCATGTGAAACTATGATCAAACAAACTTGTTATGCTTTTTTCTTGTTGACCTTTCTCTGTTATAGGGGTGCTGGCCATGACCCTTACGGTGGGAGAAAATGGATCATTCATTTTCCTCCCCTATAGTTCAGGCAGTGAGGACGGGATGGCTGAGACTGATTCACTCTGGGGCCTACAGATGACGTCCTGGGACAGCTGACAAAAAGCCAGCAAAGAAAGGTAATAATCTTTACCAAGGTCAATTCTCCTGGATCTCTGCCTGTAGTGCTTGGTCAAGAAAGAAAGGTAAAAACTTCTCTTTAGCCTTTCCTTTCCAAACTCAGGCTAACCAGAGAAAAGTATATGTTTGCATGGGGACTCTAGTGTAAATTTCGTTTGGGGGTACTAATGGCTATTGATCCTTTTCTCTCCCATGGACAGCTTTTGTTTTCTTGTTTGCCTTGCTTTTCATCCTGAGGACCAAACTTGGCTTGCTGCCTGTCCAGGGCATGCAGGACATCAGGTCTGCGTGTGCGGGCAGCCAACCAAAAGGTTGGGGGCCCTCATTAAAAGAATATGGCTGGACAGAAATGTGGGTCGGACCCCATTTGCAGGTAGCGTACCTACTGTTACCAGCTTTCAAGAAGCTGTCTAAGTCTCCTTTTTCTTTTAGCTGTCTTTGGGGGTAGTTTTGGATCTTGTGAGGACTGCTTCTTTGCACCTTTTTGGGGACTCCTTGTGTGTCCTTTTTAACTCATAAAAGCTTTTTCGTTTTAGTTCTGAGTCACTTGGTAGATACTTCTGGTTTAAAGGAAAAAAAATCAAATAAAAAAAGCTAGGATTATTTGCTGTTTGTTCCAGCTAAAATCTGATGAGGGCTTTGAAAGTATTTTTTTAAAAGGGTCTTATGGTCAGAATTTGGCTTAATTCAAAATTGATATTCAAACTATATATGTGTGTGTGTGTGTGTGTGTGTGTGTATCTTAAAGCCTCTCTGTTTCTGTTAGATTTTGTTTCTCATCATAGGAATTTTCAGTTGACTGAACATCTTTTTCTCAAACCCCTACTAACTAGAACTTAATTAACCTTTTTTGGGAAACTCCCCAAACTTATTACTCTAGGACTCATTCTTCCATTTGCTTTTGCCCTTCCTACATTTTGCCACATTTGTCAGCCCATATTTCCTCCATTTGTGGGTCAATAATGAAAAATCAATAAAAGGAAATATCAGAGTTTTGGCTACTACACAAATGGTTGTAGGGGAGAATTCTAGTGACCCTGAGGCCCCTTGAGAAATACAGAAAAAAGTGTCACAGACCCCCTTTTGGGGGCCTCTGTCTTCCTCATGAAGCCACAGGAGTTGTGGGCAGGTTCCCCTCGGGTCTATCGGGTCTAAAACTCTGCTGTCTTTTACACTGAGAACCCTGAGCTCTTTGGCTCCTGAGGGTGACCCTTTACAGTACAAATACAATATAAACCCTTTACGATATAAAATTACTTTATATTATAAGAGAACACTTGATCTTTGGGTATGTGGGGACACACACATCACTGGGAAGAGCTGTAATTTTAAAGATAATTGACTGCTGTTGCAATGAATGATTATTATGACAGGAAGCAAACTCTAGCTTTCCATCCTCTCCGTTACTTTGCTTGTTTAGATAAGAAAAGCCTAGATATCTGACGGAGTCAAACAAAAATTGGCAGTAGATGGCAATTTAGTACAAGAAAAATAATTGGCTAAGTTGGTCAAAGGGATCTCAGAGCCAAAGCTACACCTTGACAATGGATGTGGTTTGGGCACTTGGAGGCTGTTGGGACACTCAGCACTGAGAGGGCAGGCTAGTCACAGAGTGGGCTGGCTGGCACTGGCTGGCCCACCAGCCTCGGGAGGAGGGTGTTCTTACAATGAGGTACACTGTGGAAGAGTCGCACAGCCCAGCACCATGGCGTTTCCCTCTTGGGCTTTTGCCTCGGCTCTGGGAGACCTGGGATTCAACATGAAAATGGGATCCTTGATTTTTGGAGATCTAGATGCTCTCTGCCTTCCAGCTATGCCTACCTTTTACATGTTTAATATTAGGTCTCAGAAGTTACAAATTATTTGCTGCTCCTGTTCATTTGGGGCTTTGCTCTGAACTCAGTAATCCAGCAGGAGCTAAGTTGAGAAGCCACCTATCTAATTATATTGCTCTATAACATATGGCTATCTGGCATTCAGCTGGTTATTTTGAACGGGTTTTTGAGTTTTTTCCTAAACTCATCTCTATGTTTCCTTGTAAAATCAATTAGTAAATTCCTATTATTTTATGTTGTCTGGGGATCTATTTTTGAAACTTCCTCTGTGTCACATCTAACTGAAACACCTGAAACTAATTCTCCCCCTGCTTCTCTCAGGGCTCTCCTAGAGAGTGGCTATCATGATAAACCTGTCAGGCCAGGGCCAGAGTTTTATAGCTGCTTTCCAGGGAAAAACCTCAAGACTGAAATTAGTGAAAAATGCAACAAATCCAGGTTTAACAAAAATGGATATTTTTGTCCATGCAGGTGAGCTTTAGAAACATTTGGACCTAAAATTTAGTACACGGCCTCCACAAAATTGATTTCGGATAATAGGCAATATGCCCTTAGCTTTTTCTTAGATATAAAAGAAAATAGAACCTAACTCAGATGTCTATTAGTGTAGGTGATCTAAGATAATCTTTGGTAAATAAAGCTAGTTTAAAACGATTGGTAAAAAAAACAACAACAACAACAACAAAACGATTGGTAAAATAAAATAGAAATCTTTTCAGAATTGTCAGCCTACATTTTTGTCTGAGTTTTCTGGAGAGACAGGTTTATGCTATCTCTGCAGATGCTTTAAGATCAAAACTATAAATACAACCTAAGAGCAGAATGCAGAGTATTAATAAAAATGAATTGCTTAGTCACTTAATATATATCAGTCATAAAAATAAAAGTAAAAAAAAAAGTTTAACTTTTAACTCTTTTTATTTTTGTGAAATTTTTGATATTTGTCTAATTTATTGGTGAGCTGAAGCTATGGAAGCCAACGGTTGGCACCCCTGAAGCCTAGCACACTTCTTGCTGTGAGCTTGTGTCATTAGTTTTAAGCCTCTGGATGCTGGGATCTGGACAGGTGGCCACGGTGAAGATTGGAGACATATGTGTATCCACAGCTGCTGGGCAGGCAGCCATAGGACAGGCCTAAGGCCAGTACAGCACAATCCTGTATCCAGTGCCTCAGATGTCTTGGTTAGAACAAGGCTGGCTGATGCAGGTTTGTTTGGTTTTCCTTTATCAAAAATAATTTAAATGGCTAGCTTTGTTTTCCATGAACAATTCAAATATAATTGTTATCAACAAGTAAATTAGGTGAATGTGTATGAGATAAACATTTATTAAATAAACCTATCATAGTTTCAAACATCTTTTTTTCAATAATTTAAAATCTTAGTCACGTTAGGTTAAATTAAGTAATGGGTAATCATAAGATATCTCGGTCATTTCTAAGTTAGTTAAAATACTGAAATATTAATGATTAAACATAAGTTTAAGTTTATATACTTTGACATCTTTTAATATGGTATGAAAAAACTAAATATATTTTGGTCTGTTAATAAACATGAAAATTGTATTTTGTACACATATTTCTAGAAACCACAAAATGTTAGTCTACAGAAGGTTGGTTCAAAATTGCTAACGATTGAAATTCTAATTGAATATATCTAGTTATAACTACTAAAAATAAGGGGAAAAATTCTATATATAAGATAATATAAGAAAAGCAAAATATGTTTTTGGTGAAAAAATTCATGAAAACAAAAATATATATTTTTGTTAAAAATAATTTATATAGTTTAGAGGATATTTATTTTTAATTTATCAATATTTTTAAATACAGGGTCTAACTCTGTCACCCAGACCGGAGTGCAGTGACCCAGTCATTATACCCTGGAACTCACTACAACCTGGAACTCCTAGGCTCAAGCAGTGCTCCCACTTCAGTCTCCCAAGTATCTGGACTGCAGGCATGCACCACCATGCTCAGCTAATTTTTTCTTATTATTATCTTTTGTAGATATAAGTTTTCACTATGTTTCCTGGGCTGGTCTTGAACTCATGGGCTCAAGTGATACTCCCGCCTCAGTTTCCCAAAGGGCTGAGATTACAGGGATTTGACACCATGCTCAGCCTCATTGAGAAGATATTTAAAAATTGATTTAAAATAAATGGGTGAAAGAATGGTATAGATAAAAATAAAAAATATGGAAAGTTGGTAAAAGAAAAGAGAGTAAAAGGATCTTGTGTGGTTAAACTGCCTAAGATGAAATAAATTTATTATAAGTGTTTTAAAATTGAAACTTAATGTAAAAAGTATACTGATATGAACAAGAAAACCTACCTAAAGTTCGACTTCTCTTTTAAACCTTTTGAGTTAACTGAAAAACTAAATAAATAAATAAATAAACATTTAGTAGGTTATTAGAGATCTACCATTGAAAAATGTACGAAGATTCTTCAAAACTGAATTTAATCTCACCCTTAAAAAATAAGTAATTCCTATATTTTAGGAATATTCCAGAGAATACAAAAATATAATACTCCACAATTTCTTTTATGATGTGAGATTAACCTTAGTACCAACAGTCAAAAAAAAAAACATAAAAATAAATTACAAATCAGTAAGACAGTCTCACTTTTGAATAAAATGTAAAAATTTTCTTATGTAGAATAGTAAGAAATTGCTTATAATCACTTCTTGCAACTGGTAAGTATTCGATAAATATTAGTTTTTATTTACAAAGAGTTCTTAAAATGTAAGAAGGAAAATATAATTACCCTTTGGGAAAAAAAAATGAGCAACACATATTGACAGACAATACACAGATACATTTGTTATAGTCACTCATACAAAAATAAATTTAAAATGCACTATGATCATGGAAATGAAAAATTAACAAAGTGATATATTTTCAGTAATCAGTCAAGCAAAACTAAAAGGCAGACATACCTATTGCTGAGGAGGGAAGAGCCTAGTCTTTATACATTGACGGTTAAAATATGAAATGCTAAATCCTCTTTAGAAAGATGTGTAAACACCTACTGAAACTATATATGTATACACACACACACAAACACACACACACCCCTCCTTTGATCTAGTAGATGCATTCCTAAAAATTGCTGTTATAACAATAAAAGCATCATTACCTGAGGATTTATACAGAATATGTCAATCCTTCCATTGTATAAAGTGTTAAAACAAAACAAAACAAAACAAAATATTTGAAAATCCTATCAACAGTGAATGTTAATCAATAAGGGACTGAATAACTGCTCTCGGATACATCCAAACTATGAAATGTCCAATGGTAGGTCTACTTTTGTTTCTTTGAGGAATATCCATACTGTTTTCCGTGGATGTGTGCTGATTTGCAGTCCCACCAACAGTGTGTGGGTGTTCCTTTCTCTCTGCATCCATGCCGACATCTATTCTTTCTGGGATTTTTAATAAAAACCATTCTGACTGGGGTAAGATGATATCTCATTGTGGTTAAAAAAAAAAAATGGAGGGGAGAGAGAGAGAGAAACAAATTTGTGCCCCATGCTCATTTTGTATTAAGTCTTTTGATTAAATAGATGACTATTATTTCATAATGATCTGTGATCCTATTTTTGATCAAATTTTTTTTTTTTTTTTTGAGAAAGGGTCTTACTCTGTTGCCTGGGCGTGAGTGCTGTGGCGTCAGCCTAGCTCACAGCAACCTCAAACTCCTGGGCTCAAGCGATCCTTCTGCCTCAGCCTCCCGAGTAGCTGGGACTACAGGCATGTGCCACCATGTCTGGCTAATTTTTTCTATATAGTTTTAGTTGTCTGATTAATTTCTTTCTATTTTTAGTAGAGACAGGGTCTCGCTCTTGCTCAGGCTGGTCTCGAACTCCTGAGCTCAAACAATCCGCCCGCCTCAGCCTCCCAGCGTGCTAGGATTACAGGTGTGAGCCACCGTGCCCGGCCTGATCAAGTGTTTTGAACTTATTTTTAACGAACTTCTCAAAATAAAATTTCGCATTCTAAATTCAGTCTTTTTTATCTGTAACTAACTTTTGGATAATTCAGAAAGGCCTCTGGAAGTGAAAAAAAAGAAGGAAAGAAGGAGATATTTATTAGGTATTTTTTTGTATGTTAAAATTATACAGAATCATGGTCAAATAAGAAATGGTGTTTAAACTTTGAGCTATATTTGTATAGATATGTTTTTAATATGTGTTCCCAAACTGTGTTAGAATCCTAAAACTCTGATATGTCTTAGGATATATCACAAGTCATAATTCTGGCTATTCTGTTAATCTGTTATAGGACACAGAAAGTAACCAATTTCTATGTCAATTGCATTTTTTAACCTTGATTATTTTAAGCCTTGTAGTCCACAGTTAATTGACTTATTCTTATACGTCTAAAAGATCTTTTCAAGCAACTGAAATACTAAAGTGTTGTGTCTTCAAGGATGTCTATAAAAAATAAAACAAAGACTCTGACCAATATTTTAAATCACCAACCTCTGTTGATGATTTTGAGATTATTCAATTCGACTGGTAAGAATTTCAGAAACTCTAATGAAAAAACTGGACTCATAAATCTGCTAACCTAACATCAAGTAGAACAAGGATTAATTACATGGGAGTGAACTAATGAAGGATTATGATATTTTATGACTTTTTTGTTTAAAACATTTGATTCCTTTTATGTTTTGTTTTTCAGAATTAAGGTAACTTTTTTTTTCTTTTACAGTATCTGCAGCTTGCAACAACTAGGTAATGTATACTTTTGTAAACAAAATTGAAACATTTATCCTTCTACCTTCAGAATTCAGAATATGTAAGTATTCTTGTTTTAATGCAAATATAGTTCTTTTCACAAGCTCAACAAGTCCATTAAGAATCTGTTTTCCTTTGTAACAGGACACAATGAGACACTGGTAATTTTATCAAGGCTATGACTGGAGTGTCATATTTTCACATATGACCAGACTACTTTGAGGGATTGACGTTGACTTTTATAGAGCCAATGAAAAGTTTCTTGGAAAAAATGGCCTGGTACATTGTCTACACGGTCCCCTTAAAGAGTTCCTGACCTTGTGGTAAGTAAAGAAAGTCAATCTCTGACAAACCCAGGAACCTCAGATATTTTGAGGACCTTGAGAAGAGAAGATGTCAGCTAATACATAAAGGTATTATGCACACAGCCTGAGGGCAAGTCAAATCCTTGGGTTGGCTTCCTATCCTCTAGAGGCTTTCAAATGTCTGAGAGTTTTAATGAACAGTTCCAGCAAAACCGACTTACAAAGAACCTATATGAAAAATTACTATTCTCATTGCTCTTTAGGAAAACAATCAGCTCAAGTTAATGAATTGACTTTATTTCACAAAAAATTAGTCTTACCATAAATATCTTTGGTAGAAATGGGGGATAATGAGAGAAAGCTCATGTTTCAGAACAAAACTACAGTGCACCTATTATTAGATTCTAGCTCTGCCCATTGCTTTTGAGTTTCTTTTTTTTATATTATCTGGATTAGACCCTGAATTTTTAGTCTCCTCCAATACTTGGCCATGGCTCTCCAGACTAATGTTTATAATTTTTCTCCCACCTTTCTGGCTTGAAATCTTTGAAATGAAAACTGCTCTTTTCCTGAAGCCCTACAAGCTGAATGAAGCTGAACAATATGACATAAACTTTAGGAAACCCACCACGATGGCTTATGTAAAAACAACTTGTGTGCCTATTACTCTGCAGAGTACTCAGAAAGTTCATCTGGGCTAGAATCTAATCACAAGTGCACTACAGTTTTCTTCCGAAACATAATTTTTCTCTCCTCAGAGAAACTAGGAAAGTGCCAGTCAGATTGCCTCTGTTCTTGCTCCATCTACAAATGCTTCAAGCCCAACATCCAAAAATCTTGACTGGCTGTCATCTGGACTCACGAAAACTGAATTTTATAGTTTGTTTTAACCATTAACTTTTGTTTTCCATTTGTTTCAATAGAAATCCCTCTTATTAAATATCTGCTCAGACTACAGAAGACTGACTTTGGTGGAAGTCCAATTGTGATATCACTGCCTGAAATGAGACCCTACTGTAAACTATATCACTGTATTGGCCTATTCTCAGGACCAAGAGACTAATTCACTAGCTTATGAGACAATCTACCAACCCAATTTCTGGACTATGAGACTTCTTCGGAAAGTTTCAAACCAGGGAATGCTGGGGCTCATGGAATGACAGCCCAATGTAAAAGCCTAAGAAGCAGCTGCAGAAGCAGAGTCTCTCTTTGACTTTGTCCTGCCCTCCCATCTCTTACCTCTCATTCTCACCCAAGTAAGCCATAGTAACTAGAAATTCCCAAGGCAAGTCATAGAAATCAGAACCCCTTTCTTCTAAGCTAGCCGTAAAGCCTAAAAATATTACTCTAACCTTGCCCCCTGTCTTTCTGTGTAACTTGTCATAAAAAAATGGAGAGCTTCATTCCTACCTCAGACACAGGAGAAAGGAATGCTGCACAGAAAGGCCAAGAAGTATCTGATCAGACAGACCTTGCTGAGTTCCCCACTCCGTCTATTAGCATTAGATCATACCCTTTTTGTCCAATCATATTTCTACCCGGCTATTCATACTTTACTGAACTTAAGCATAAAAATGGATAGTTTTCCTGTATCTTTGAATATTCACTCTGAAGGCTCCTGTGTTAAGTAAAACTATGGTCAAATAAATTTATTGTGCTTTTTTTCTTGTTAACCTGTCTATTGAGGTGTTACCATGACCCTTATGATAAGGAGGATAGGCATCGCCTCCTTTCTGTCCCTACAGTTCTGTGTGTCGGGCATTACATAAATTTTTACTTAATAAATAATTAAAATAATTATATTTTTTATTTAAAACTATAGGAGTAATGAGTTAAAGATTACCTGGAGGCAGTAGTGGGATGTCTAACACA